CGACTCTTTAGGGTCTGATGGGAGCTTTCCATTCTTCAAGTATTCAATATATTTATTCCTCCAATCCCAGGTTAAGCTTATAGAGTTTATCTCGGCACGACCTTCCTCGATCACAGATCTCGAGAGTTGAACGACAGTCCCCGAGCTGATCTTATCTTCCTCGACCGATGACCCCAAGTTTGCAAGTGCATCAGCCTCACTGTTTTGTTCTCGAGGTACATGTTGTAAAGTCCATTCCTTGAAACGGTGCAAAGTTACCTGCAGCTTGTCCAAATACCTTTGCATTCTATCCTCTCGAACTTGAAAGGTTTTGTTTACTTGGTTCACCACTAGTAAAGAGTCACACTTGACTTCAATGACTTCTGCCCCAAAGCTTTTAGCTAGCTCGAGACCTGCAATCATGGCCTCGTACTTGGCCTCATTGTTAGTCAACCTAGAAGTTTTGATAGATTGCCTAATAGTGCTACCTGTGGGTGGCTTCAAAATGATGCCTAGCCCGGACCCCTTCACATTTGAAGCATCGTCTGTAAAAAGGGTCCATCTCCCTGTTGACGTACCCGATTTTAACAAGAGTTCCTTTTCAACTTCGGGTACGAGGGTTGGCGTGAAATCGGCCACGAAGTTCGCTAAAATTTGAGACTTGATGGCCGTCGGGGGTTGATATTCGATGTTGTACCCACTGAGTTCGACGGCCCATTTGGCCAATCGGCCCGACAGTTCAGGCCTGTGCAAAATATTACGAAGTGGGTAAGTGGTTAATACGCATACTGGGTAACATTGAAAGTATGGTCTTAACTTTCTAGAGATGCTTATCAGTGCAAGTGCCAATTTTTCTAAGTATGGATATCTAGTTTCTGCTACTCCTAAGGTTGGACTTACATAATAAACGGGAAATTGCGTACCTTGCTCTTCTCAAACTAGGACACCACTTACCGTGATTTCCGATACTGCGAAGTACAAATAAAGCTTCTCATCTACCTTTGGAGTATGAAGCAGTGGTGGGCTCGATAGATATCACTTCAACTCTTCCAATGCCTGTTAGCATTCCGGGGTCCAGGCGAAATCGTTCTTCTTTTTGAGTAAAGAGAAAAATCTGTGGCTTCGATCTTATGACCTCGAAATGAATCAGCCTAAGGCAGCTATCCGTCCGGTTAGCCTCTGTACGGCTTTTACACTATCCACGACGGCGATGTCTTCGATGGCCTTGATTTTATCGGGGTTGATCTCGATCCCCCGATTCGATACCATGAAGCCAAGGAACTTGCCCGAACCAACCCCGAAAGCACATTTCTCAGGGTTGAGCTTCATGTTATATTTCCTTAAAATCTCGAACGTTTCCTGCAAATGATCCAAATGGTCCTCTGCGCGCATGGACTTAACTAGCATGTCATCAATATAAACCTCCATTGATTTACCTATTTGTTCTTCGAATATTTTATTCACTAGGCGTTGGTAAGTAGCTCCGGAATGTTTTAGCCTGAAGGGCATTACATTATAACAATATTTTCCATACATGGTGATAAATGAAGTCTTTTCTTGGTCTTCCAGGTTCATTTGGATTTGATTGTACCCGAAATAGGCATCGAGAAAAGTAAGGATCTCGTGGCCGGCCGTGGCATCGATCATGTGATCGATGTTAGGCAGTGGAAAAGAATATTTGGGGAATTCCTTGTTTAAATCCTTATAATCTACACACATTCTAAGTTTATCCCCTTTTTTAGGAACTACAACTACATTGGCTAACCATTCTGGATCTCACCTCTCGAATGGATCCTATTTTGAGAAGTTTAGTTACCTCGTCCTTTATGAATGTGTGATTTACTTCGGACTGGGGTCTTCTCTTTTTCTTCACCGATTTGAATCTAGGGTACATGCTTAGCCGATGTGTCGTTACCTCCGGTGAAATCTCTGTCATGTCTAAATGGGACCAAGCAAAACAATATATGTTATCAACAAGAAATTGAATAAGTTTTTTCTTGAGTTTGGGGGTTAATCCCGTTCCCAGGTATACCTTTTGCTCGGGTAGGTACTCGATCAATACAACATGTTCTACCTCTTCGACCGTTGATTTGGTGGCGTCAGTATCTTCGGGAACAACAAAAGTTCGAGGAGTCAAAAAATCCTCCTCTTCTTCTTCTATCTCCCGCTTCTCTGATTCGGTTGAGGCTGGTGGATGTGATTGCTATTTGACTTCCTGTTTATCTTTGTTGTTCGACCTTTCCAAGGTTGATAGTGTCGATATCGGTGTTACCTCATCGACCGCAAATATTTCCTTTGCAGCATGTTGCTCCCCGTATACTATTTTTACACCGTCTGATGTCAGAAATTTTATCATTTAGTAGAGAGTCGAAGGGATTGCTCTCATATTGTGGATCCAAGGTCTTCCGAGTAGGGCATTGTACCTCATGTTGCCCTCGATCATGTGGAACTTAGTATCTTGAATGGTTCCAACCACGTTCACCGGTAGAATAATCTCCCCTTTAGTTGTTTCACTGGCCATATTGAAGCCATTTAGGACCCGAGATTCGGGCACGATTTGATTTTGTAGGCCGAGCTGCTCCACGACCCTCGATCGGATGATATTCGCCGAGCTACCTGGATCCACTAAAATACCCTTAACTTGAACTTTATTTAATAAGATTGGAATTACCAGAGCGTCGTTGTGGGGCTGAGAAATGCCTTCTGCTTCTTCGTTGTTGAATGATAAAGTGCTTTCGGGCACATAATCTCGGGTTCATTTTTCCCTAGTGATTGATACATTAGTGCATTTGAATATGGGTCCCTGTGGAATGTCGACCCCACCGACGATCATATGAATGAAATGTTGGGGTTCCTCCTGTTCATTTTTCCTGTTGGCGTCTCTTTCTCTAAAATGATTCTTGGCTCGATCGCTGAGAAACTCTCAAAGGTGGCCCTCATTGAATAGACGGGCTACCTCCCCCCTTAATTGCCTGCAATCCTCGGTTTTGTGACCATGCGTGCCATGATACTTGCATATCAAATTTGGATTTCTTTAAGAAGGATCAGTTTGTATGGGTCTGGGCCACCTAGTATCTTTGATCCTTCCGATTTCCGATACAATGCCTAATGCATCAATGCTAAAGTTATATTCCGATAACCGAGGTGCTTCTGTGGGATCGGCGTACTTGTCAAAACCACTCTTGCTCATAAGTCCCCGAGAATTCTGTCCTCGATCACTTCTCCGATCGTTCCAAGCGGAATTGCATCCTGAATCATTATCCTTGTTGTTCCTTTGATATGCGGTATATGGTTGATATAGGTCTCTGTTCGACCTTGGCTCCCTATCGACGTCCCTCTCATTTTTAACTACCGACCTATTTGGATGTGCTGAACCGGAAGGGGCTCCCAATTGATCGTCCTCGACCCTGATCTTCGATTGGTATCGATTGTGTACATCTGCCCAAGTTACAGCTGGATATTTGATCAAATTTTGTTTCAACTGACGTGATGCTATTGAACTCTGCTCGTTCAACCCTTTGGTGAAAGCTTGAACGGCCCAATCATCTGACTCTGCTCGTTCAACCCTTTGGTGAAAGCTTGAACGGCCCAATCATCTGTGACCGGTGGAAACTCCATGAATTCCATTTGCAATCGGGACACGAACTCCCTCATCATTTCATTATCCCTTTGTCTTACCTTGAAAAGGTCCGATTTCCTCGTTGCGACCTTTATGGCCCCGGCGTGTGCCTTTACGAAAGAATCTGCTAACATGGCAAATGAGTCAATGGAATTTGGTGACAGGTTGTGATACCAAATCATTGCTCCCTTCGAAAGGGTCTCTCCGAATTTTTTCAACAGCACAGATTCGATTTCATCATCCTCTAAATCGTTACCCTTGATGGCGTATGTATATGAAGTAACATGCTCGTTAGGATCGGTGGTACCATTATAATTGGGTATGTCTGGCATACGAAACTTTTTTGTAATAGGCTTCGGAGACGCACTTGGAGGAAATGGCTTTTTTTACAAACTTCTTTGAATCCATCCCTTTCAAGATTGGCGGCGCCCCCGGTATCTGATCAACTCGAGAGTTGTATGTCTCCACTTTTTTATCGTTGGCTTCAATTCTCTTCTCCCCTGATTCAATTCTTTTGGTGAGCTCCTCGAGCATTTTAATTATCGCAGGATCAGTCCCCGATTCGTTACCATTCGGCCTCTATGGTACTGGCTCGGTACGACGAGTAATTTCCGGCTCGACCCTATTCGGAGCTCTATGTTAATTTTTAACTGAGCAATATCGGCTTGTTGATCCTGAAGCATCTTGAATATTACTTGGAGACTGACTCCCTCGTCTCTTCTGCCCCGTGTTCCTTGGCCACTGGATCGGCCTTCTCTGCGTACACTCCCATCGAGATCGGCGCCTAGGTCCGCATTTAGAGCAACGTGCGAACTGACATCGACGGGGTTGGCAACCAGTGCTCCCCCGTGATTAGCCTGTGGCACTTCGATTCCTGGAGCAATCACATTTTCGTTTTCACCATGGAATCCGAGGCCATTGTCACCGTATGTGGATGCGTTTTGTGAGTTTGACATGTTTTAACCTGAAAGCAAAGATACTTGACAAGAATAAGCGTAAAATAGTGTGTTTCACCAGAATTAGTACTGAAAAATTACTATTATCCTTGGCCCTACGGTGGGCGCCAAACTGTTTACCCTAAAATTTTGAGTAACAATTAAACTTATTTATTGGTTTCAAGGATACGAGATTTAATCCAATGCTAATTGATAAATAAGGAATTAAATAGATAATCTGAATAGTAAAATAAATCAAACCAGTGTTCTGGCAGTGCTTTCGACTTCGATTCGAGATGGTCTCGAGGTTGGGTAACAAGAACAATAAAGAACAGAAACTAAACAGTGATGAGTTGTAATAGATAGTAAGTGAAATAGAAAAAGTAGTGTATGTGTATGTGTTTATTAGTCAATCCATCTACCTTACAAATGAATGGGGTCCCTCTTTATATAGTAGAGGAATCCTAAATAATGTACAATTCTAATAACGGAAATAAATCCCATGATTGGCATCAATAACCGCTTGATTCGATCTATTCCGGAATTTTTGCCGAGATCTTCGGTCGGTTGCTAATATCTCGCCATTCCGTTATTATGCTTTACTTGAAGTCGGTCATGCTCGGTCTCGATCTTCAGCGAGCACTTCGATCTTCATGCTCCATACTCTGCCATTGAGCTCGAGCCTGGTCTATTACGATCTAACTCTCGAGACAGCTCCTCGTGCCTATGAAATCGGGCATGCCCGATTTTGACCGTATACAAAAAATAAACTAGTAAGTAACAAGTATCGATTGAGCATTAACCAGAAATGCACATGCACTTGTGCAGTCCATATGGCAACCGAACTAAAGCTATATAAAAAAGATATCTAGCAGGCGCTATGACCGGTTTCACTCCCGACGTTCACTATACTTTGAACCCGCTAGAGCAATTTCACATAGGAACATCTTTGGTCAAGCGGATCAACAAAGCTTATGTCCACCATTTACAGAATTTATAACCTATATAAAGTATCAAAAATTTTCGACCCGATTAATCCTACGTAGGGAAGCAATGCGCCTAGACATCCATTGTACGTTTCCAGAGCTACATTAATAAGACAATCAACCAAAACATTGCCTTAATAAGTACCTCAAATTTGACGAACATATATTGTGGTCTGTGCACCCAAAAAACTTGCATATCCAACAATGAAATCGCCACCATATGATATTATTGCACTCGACTCGTACCTGGAGCTAATGCTGATTTGCCTTATACCAAACCACCTTAGCGTAATCCTTAGTCTTGTGTTCTCCATCTTCTGAAACATTGCTCCTAAAGTGGCATTGTCTTCCGTTGCAAGGTCTCTGCATTTAAAATTCAGACAAAATATTACACTACATTGGCGTACCCAAAATTTCAATCAAACGGGGTCAACTATTAGACATTGCAACGTCTCTGTGTATGACAAAGTGAACTTTTTTCTTTTTCCATAATACCCGGGAAAAGATTGTTGTTTTGAGGTAGTTTAGTCTTATTCTTAGAAACACAAACAGTTAGACAAAACAATATCATTTTTGTCATTGTTCCATTAAATTATATAGATATAACCAATTATAAGTCTTAGAAATTTCCTTTATAAGTCTCCAATTTTATATTTTTATATTTTTCTCTTATAAGTAGTTAATAACAATAACAACATAGCAATTTTGAAACACTGTAAGCAAATTAGAAATAAATAAAATAAACACACAATTTACTAAAACAATAACTAAATAAAATAATAGGACTAACCTCGCCTCACATATGTTGAGGTTTTTAGAGTATGTGAAACTCAACAAATGGAGCAAATCACTTGTTAGAAATCTGTGTTCAAACTAGAAATGTTAGTGCAATAAACATAAACAAAAATAATTTTGAACCCACATGTTGCTTATGTGTCCTTAAAAGAATTTAATCCCCTCACCGTTGCCTCAGATTTTGGATTATATTCTTCCATGATAGAACGAAATAACTATTTTGTGATAGCGACACTACAAATTACATAACTTCAACGAAGTCAACAAACGGAACAAATCACACTTGATACTTATAATGCAATAATGTAGAAAAGAGAGGAGAGGTTTTCTGGTATGAACTTGTATTGATTGAACTCAAAATACAATTAGAGTGAAGGATCTAAGAACTGGACTAAGAAAATACACTGAAAATGGCAATGAAACAGTAAAGAAAGGGAGAAGGGTTCCAGAAAAAAACTAGCCAAAAAGAAAATACTGAAGTTCATACATAATCCTACCATTCTAGCCTTGCTGGGTATTTATAGAAGCATCAGTTGCATCATATGGTAACTTGCGAGTCCTCCACTACCTCTAACAGATTTTGCAGACCTTGTCATTTCTTTGGATTGGGGACCACGGAATTCTTCAAATATTTGGGAGGGTGTATGGCATGTGCACTGCGTCTAGTACCCTCTAGTATCTCCTGTGGGTTCATAACATTTTTTATATTTTTTATGTACGAAAAATGAGGCTAAGTCTCTAATTTTATAGACAGTGAAAAGATGAGACAAAGATGTACAATTCAAGATGTGTCTCTTCATTCCCCATTCACCTCCTTTGGAAACCCAACAACGTATTCCAAAAAAGGAGAAAAAAACACAACACAACTATATGATGTACGGAGTATTAAAATAAATAAAATAAACTGTAAATACACAAATTTGCACATACAAGTGCATTAAATTATAAAAATTATTATTTACAAACAACAAACAGTGCTACTATAACGTATATTATCTTAACAACATAAACAACTTCATTATGACACAAATAATAAATATAATGCTGAAATACGAGCTTAACTGATAAAGCTTGAAGCTTCTCTAATGGAGTCGACTGGTGCGAGATGAGAGAAAGAGAAGAAACAGAATTGGGAAAAAATGATAATCTCTATATTATCTAAATGCTAAAGTTCATATATACAATTGACTCCACTAACCAACTTCACTAACTAACTATTTACAGCTAAGCTACAGCTGGACATAAGATTATTATTCTAACCACCAACTAACTAACTAAACTAATGCTGCCACGTGTGATTGCTATTACACACACATACACATCAATACTCCCCCTCAAGCTGGAGGGTGTAAAATATTGAGCACACCCAGCTTGCCCATTAAATGAAAGTGTTGCACCTTGCTGAGCCCCTTCGTCAATAAATCTGCTAGTTGATCTTTAGTGCCAATGAAGGTAGTGCGTATGACTCATTTTTTGATTTTATCTCGAATAAAGTGGCAATCAATTTTAATGTGCTTAGTATGCTCATGGAAGATTGGATTTGTAGCAATCTGTATAGCAGCCTTGCTGTCACTGTGAACCATGACAGGCTGTGTAATGACAACTCCCAACTCCTGAAATAGGCCAAGTAACCATGTTACTTCAGCCACAGCAGAAGCCATGCTTCGATATTCTGCCTCTGCAGAGCTTCTTGAGGCAGTTTGCTGCTTCTTAGACTTCCAAGACAACAAGGATTCACCAAACTTGACAACGTAATCAGTCATAGATCTTCTAGTGTTAGGACAAGAAGCCCAGTCAGAGTCACACCAACAAGTAAAATGCTGTGTTGGTTCTACCTTCATAAACACACCTAAACCAGGTGCATTCTTGAGATACTTTACCACTCTGATGACAGCTTCCCAATGTGATTGTTTAGGCAGTTGTATAAATTGACTGAGTGTCTGCACTGTGTAGTTAATATCAGGTCTGGTGATAGTCACATATAGCAACTTCCCTAGCAACCTCTGATAAGCACAAACATCCTGCAATGGCAAATCTTCGGTTGTACCTACTGCCTTATCATATTCCAAAGTAGTCAACTTATGGTTTGCTTTCAGTAGTGTTGCATAAGGCTTTGCTCCACTGAATCTCAATTTAGAAATCAATTCAAGCACATATTTCCTTTGATTCAATAAAATGCCATGTTGTGACCTTAGGGCTTCTATGCCTAGGAAGTACCTAAGCTCCCCTAGGTCATTGACTTTGAACTTATCATGCAGTATGCTCTTAGCAATACTCACAAGCTCTTTGCTACTTCCTATGATAAACATATCATCTATATAGACAGAAATGATCACCACATCCTCACCTTTTCTCATGGTGAACAGAGAGTAGTCATGATTGCTTTGAGTAAAACCTGCACTTATCAAGGCTTCAGTCAACTTAATGTTCCACTGCCTAGATACCTGCTTGAGTCCATACAAAGACTTGCGCAATCTGCATACCTTCTTCTCTCCCTAACTTCTAAAACCTTCTGGCATATTCATATATACCTCCTCACATAGATCTCCTTGAAAAAAAGTATTATAGACATCCATTTGGAACAATTCCCAGCCCTTTGATGCTGCTAGTGCTATAATGGATCTCACTGTAACCATTTTTGCCACAGGAGAAAAAGTATCATGATAATCCAACCTTTCTTTTTTACTGTAACCTTTGGCAACTAATATTTTTTTAAACCTCTCTACTGCCCCATCTGCCTTAAACTTGATCTTGTATACCCATTTTGATCCCACAGTGTTTTTCCCTTTAGGCAAATCAACTATCTCCCAAGTTTTGTTTTCTTCAAGTGCTGTGATTTCTTGCTTCATTGCCTCAATCCACTTGGGGTCTTTTACAGCTTCTCTGAAAGTCTGTGGTTCAACCAAGGAAGAAAAACTTGCAAGATACTTGATATTTGACAGAGGTGCCTGCATAGGATAAGTAATCTGATAGAGGATACAAGCTGCAATGCGACTTGGGTTTGGTCTCAGCGACATAGTCCTTCATCCAAATAGGTTGTTTCCCTTGCCTGATTGATTTTCGTGCTTATGTCTCAGTAGGCACAATAGTAGGAGCAGATGGAATGTTATCTGTAATAGGATCAGCAGCAAGTGGAATGTGATCATTCTTCTCAGCACTAGTATTAGTTGGAGTGTTATCTGCCTTAGAGATGTCTTCATTGTCCTCAGTAACATTGGTATCTTCAGGAATGGAGTTGTCTATTTCAGGGATTTCATTATCCTGACATTGTGAATCAGGAACTATGTTGTCCTCGTCACAAGAAATCTCTTCTTCTCTCACTTCTGATGGACTAGCCATGTCTGATGCAGCAGGTGTATCTAGCAAGGGATAAAGCAAGATGGCATCTGGGAAAATAGTATCTGGAGGAGCTGTGCATCCTGAAGAAACCTGTGTTATGAATGGAAAATTTGTTTCTCTAGAAGTCACATCCCTGTTGACAAAGAAATACCTAGAAGCTAAGTCCAGCAAGATGTAACCCTTCTGTGTTTCTGAAAAACCAAGTAATACTGCAGGTTTAGCCCTTTGTGCAAACTTATCTCCCTTGACCAAGTTAGTTGCATAATAGAGGCAACCTAGTATTCTAAGGTGACTTAGCTTGGCCCTTTTATGATAGAGTAGTTCATATGGTGTGCTACCTGACAGAACAGTGGAGGGAAGCCTGTTTATCAAGTACATTGTTGCCTTTACACACATGCCCCAATATCTGAGAGGAATGGAAGCTTGGAATCTTAAAGCTTTAGCAGTATCAAGGATGTGTCTATGTTTTCTCTCTACTATGCCATTCTGTTGTGGAGTATAGGGACAACTACTTTGATGAATGAACCCTAGTTTAGTGAACAATTCAGTACACTGTGAGTTGAAAAACTCAGTTCCATTATCTGACCTCAATATCTTGATTATAGTGTTAAACTGGTTTTTTATCATTGCCACATATTGTTTTAACACTGCAATTACTTCAGATTTCAGCTGCAATAAATAGATCCATGTATATCTAGTATGATCAACCATAATAAAACGTAGAAACTTTATAAGGTCCCCAAAGATCCATGTGTACAAGATGAAAGAGAGCTTCAGCTCTAAAAGAACTGAATGGAAGCTACAGTCTAGTTTGCTTTGCCAAAGGACATATATGGCACTTATTCTGTACTCTATTACTAATACTGTCATGAAGCTCTACTATATTCTTCTTAGTTGTTAATGAAAGGTGTCCCAGCCTCATATGGCACAGGTTGTCCCTTCCTGCACTCTCTACTGCATGTACTGCTTTTATTCCTTTAACTAGTTCATTATCACCTGAATTACTTCTCAGCACATATAATCCTTCATTTTCTCTACCAATCCCTTCACCCTGCCACTGTAAAGGTCCTGAAATACAATAAAATTGGGAAAAAACTGTGCAGAACAGGATAATTGTTTGGTTAGTTTTGACACTGACAGTAAGTTGAACTTAAAGTCAGGTACATAAAGCACATTGCTAATGGTCTTCCCTTTGAATTACTTTGCACTACTAACATGTGTGATATCTCCTTGTCCTCCTGTTGGTAAATGAACCCTGTTTGTACTTGTTTTGATAGTGTGATTACTTTCATTCAACAGATCTAAACTAGAGATGATATGGTGAGTAGCTCCTGAGTCTACAATCCATTCCCTTTGTTGTTTGAAATTAGACATTAGACAAGTGACAATACCTGCTATGTTAGCTTGATGATTTTCAGAATCTTTGTTCAGCAAATTCAAGGTTTGATTGTATTGTTCAAGTGTGAAGAACAATCCCTTGTGTCCTGCTGCCTTGTGATTGTCTCCATCATTCTGAGAGACTGATGCTACATCTGCATTATTAGCAGCAGTTAAGGGTTCCTTCCTCCATCCTTCATGAGATCCACCCCTATGAGGCTTCCAACCATCATAACTACCAGTACCAAACCTCTTCTTTTGCTTGAAATCAGATGGGTAACCTATAATCTTATAGCAATTTTCTTTAGTGTGGCCTTTCATCTTACAGTGCTCACAATACAAAAACTATTTTTTGC